GGAGATCGCAGGCCTGGTTTATCATTCCTGTGCAACTTCCTTTCCAGTAGAGCCAGCCGATGGCTGTTGGGGTAGTTGATATACACATGATATTCAACAATCGGAAGTGTGAGGACAATGTGTGGGTGTGGGTGTGGGAGCGGGGGTGGGTGTAGAGGGAGGAGGGGTCGTAGCCTGCGGCGATGGCGGCTTCGATTGCGTCGCGCGAGGCCATGTTGATGGTGTTTTGCTGTTGTTGCTGTTGCTGTTGCTGCTGCCGTTGTTGGTGGTGAAGGAGGAGGGAGGAGTGAAGGGATTGGGCTTGGCCCGGGGGTCGTTGGAGATGGAGAGAGTCTGCGTGCAGAGGGTTGAGGTCGGCCTTGGACACGGATTTAGACTTGTTCTTCCTGGCTTGTTTGCGCGCCTGATCCGTCTTGGAAGGCGGTGACAGGGACGCGAAGAATTCTTCGACGCTCTGCAAATCGCTCTTTTGTCCCAGTACAGCATCGGTACCCGGCTCATTGGCATTGGATTCTGCCGCGTCCTCGTAGTCTGTCTTGGAGACACCATGTGGGTACCGGTCAAACCAATCTCCATACTGGAAAATGCTACCCTTTTTCTTGTCGTTTGGCGCAACCGGGCCCTTCAACTGCGCATCGGCGTGCTGCCGATACAACTCCTTTAGGTTCTCGGCAATGTAGTGAAACATGCCCCAGTACTTCTTCATCTTGGTCAGATACTTGACGTTGTACGCAAGGTACTTTTTCGACTGCGCCTCGAGCTTCGGGTTCTTTGAAAACAAGCCATGGACATGGACTGTGGACGAGAAGAAGGCCGAGTAGCCGGCAAACGGGGCCACCACATTGTGGTCCATGGCCTCGTTGATCAAAATGGAAATCTGATTCGCCGCATCTAGTGCCGCGCGCGCAGACTCTGTGAGGAAATCGTGTGGCATGTCTTTTGGTGGTCTGCTCCCGGCTGTCGAAGGCAAGGCAAAGCGATGCATGAACAGCATAGTCTGCTGCCACAAAATGTGCAAGTAGAGAAATGAATTGGCAGTCTTCCCAATCGCATGGCTCTTCAGGTTCTCCGGTGTGTAAATGAGCATCTCCGGCAACGAGGCCTTGAACTCTCTCGCCTCTTGCTTGATCTTGTGGTACGTCGACTCGGACGACCACATGGGCTCCGCCTCCCTCTCCTTGCCGCCCAGATTCATGTATTTGATGAGCTTGCCCCAGATACACACCAGCCGAATGGTGTAGGCCGAAACACCCATGTTCTCGCGTGCATCCGCTAGTTGGCCACCATCCGGGGGGACCGGATTGGGTACTTTTCCTTCTAGGTTTTCTGTCGGCGCTTGTATGTCGTGTATGTAGAGGTGTTCTTTGATGGGTAATTGTACTTCAATGTACTGCTCATGCACGAAGAGCGGGCGATCTGTGCCAGAGGAATTGAAGCGGTCCATGAGGAAGCATGACCACATGGTCCGCCGCCGTATCTCCCGGTCTGTCGCACTCAGTGGCTTCTTGTCCGCATCGCTGACGAGCGGGTCGTATTCGTTTTCCTTGTGTAGTTGCAAGGCATATGCCATTCTCTGCGCCATGCCGCCAAACATCCAGCTGCGTCCACCCTGGCAGGTTCCGAATTCATGGAGGCCGAGGAGGAGATAGACAATCAAAATGGTGATGTTGGGCGTGTCGTATCGTTTGAGGGCAATCTCGCGTGCGCGTGCTGCCCAGTCGTCTCCGCGTAAAAAGCATGGCTCGGACCGTAGCTGGGGATGTGTGGAGAAGCGTGCGGAAATGCCACACATGGCCAGGATGAGGACTGGAGGCACTTTGCCCGCGGCCAATTTCCTCATAAAACTCGGCTTATGGAGCAGCGGATAGCTTTGGCCGTAGACGTAGTCAAAGTAGACCTCGGCCAAATGTTCCTGCATCTCCTTGGACGGCAAGCTCTCCGCCCCTTCTGTGAGCAACTTGCTGTCTTCCGACTCCTTGCCGCGGGACGCCCGACCGGCTGCATCAGGATCCAAGGCTTTGGACTTCGACCACTCCTCGAGCTCGTTTCCAAACGCCTCCTCGGCGGGGCGTTTCCTCGTCGTCGGCGTCTTGGGTGGCGCCCCCGGAAGGGGAGGCTTGACGACGGATCTCCCGACATTCGCGACCGACGGCAGGCTCTCCTTTGGTATCAGCTTGATGACACGGTCCTCCATGCGCTTCAGTCGCTTGTCCAACATGGCCATGTAGTCTGTCCGCGGCGCCGCCTTCCTCGTGGTGACCTTGTAGACGCAGGGAATGCGACTTCGCAGGCAGTGCTTGCACGCCGGCTTCTCGCCCGAGCAGCGAATCTTCTTCCTTCGACAGGCGATGCAGGCGAGGGGGAGGCGCTTCCGCTCCTTGCCCGCCTTGGTCTTCATTTCGCTCCATTGCGGGGTATCCTGCGAGTCGTCCTTGCTCCTCCTCGACGTGGTCGAGTGGTTGCCGTCATTGTCGTGGAGTTTGGTGGCGAGCGCATCGCCAAGGGAGAGCGACCGGAGTGCGTGGGCGCCGTCTGGGCTGGTGTTGTGGCCATTCTGCATTGGACTGCCGCCACTGATGCTCATCCGGTGTGGGTGTACACTGCCACCAACACCGCTCATGTTGCCCTCACTCATTCCGCCCACACTTCCTGGCGCATTCGCATACTCGTTCTCCCTCTTGGGCTGGACACCATCGAAGCTGCCGCCAAAAGCCGAGGCTGGAGCGAAAGCCATGTCGAAGTCGGGAAACGCTGAAGCCATGTTGGCTGGACTGGCGCCGATGGGGTCGCTGGGCGAGGCTCGCAATTCGGGCAGGCCGTATTCGTTGAGTAGGAGGGCGTCGTCGTGCTCAAAAGGTGGGTGCGAGTGCGAGTGGGTGTGCGTAGGCGTGGGCGTGGGCGTGGCCATGGTGCCTGCGGTTGCGGTTGCGGTTGCGGTTGCGCCGGAGTCGGCCATTCCCTCCTCCTCCCAGCGTCCAGACGGGCTGTGTGCCTGGCTGGCTGGCTGCCTGTCTGTCTACCTACCCAGCGAACTTTTTTCTTATTTTATTTTTTGCGGATCACAATGGGCGCAGGCTACCACGAGTCGCAGCGCGCTTGGTCAGCTCGGAGGCTGTAACGTCACACTCGGTCGTTTTCCTCATGCAAGGACAGCAGCAGTTTGAATTGGATCGGGACACAGTCAGAACAGCATTTGGGCAGACTAGGATGAGGTGCACGCCCGTTGTGCGCGTTGCGTTGCGTTGCGTTGCGTTGGGTTCGGAGGCGCGCCAGCCGAGGTTGGGTAGCGCAGTCAGGTGATTTAGATAAGAGTGAAAGTGGGTAGGACCGTAGGATTGACTGGGGGGTTGTATGACTGTGTGTGTGTGTGTGTGTGTATGAGAGTGAGAGAGAGAGAGAGAGAGTGTGTGTGTGTGTGTGGATCTTGTCGGGTACCGATTACAGCATCTACATTACAATTTACTAGATAGAGTGCCTGGCATACACAGTAGCGACCGACAATCCATGCCCAGCTCCGACCTTCTCCACGGCCTTTCTCGAACCCAGTGGGGCGCTATTAGAGCCCTCGCTGTCCTTGCTGCAACACCACTGGCCCCGGTCGCCGACAAGAGACAGTCGATGTGGGGAAAGCAGGCCAGGAGCAGAGAGGAAGCGTGGAATTGTCAGCTGTTGTTCCCAACCTCAACCTCCACCCACCGGATCGAGGCAAGGAAGCGGCCAGCAGCGGGGAGTCTAGACACCACTAGGTCGGCCGTGGTCAGCGCGCGAGCAGGTGTCAAACCGTGGCGGCCGGGCGGTGCTGTGGACGGGATGGCTCCTCTGGCAGCATCTACGGTACCCTCATCACCCAACAAAGAACCGCCGAAGGACATGACAGCCTAAATGTAAAAGGATTGCCAACGTCCCTCTGCTTCTTCACAAGAGCCTTTGCGTGCATGCCCTACCCCCAACCCGCTCGACTATTCATGCCATGGCTTGCTCGCTACAGCACGAGCATGCACCACCCACCCTCTTGTCACCTATGCTCTCTCGTCAGTACCGGTTACTGCCTCGTGTGTCTCGCGCATTTCCCCCACAAAAGGGCTGGCAATCTGCTTGGGACAAGTTGGGGACAAGGGGGGTCGCCTATCCTAGACGAAACCAAGGCCGATGATTCAAGCATCACAAAGCAGAAAACAAGAACAAAACCAACAACAACGGGCCCCTTGTGGCATGCATCCATTCGTCTGATGCTTAGCCATGATCGCTGCATGGGTTCTGGTTTGGGGGTGGTGGCATGTCATATGACCATGGGTTTAGCGTCGGGCGACTTGGGCTTTACTCCGAGTGGTTAGAATATCCCTGTAGGTTCAAGTCCACGTCACAGCGGCAAATTTTCATGGTTATATGAACTAGCCTATAGTCGAGTATAAATTAGGGTAATTTAAGCAAGTAAACGTAGTTTTTGTTACTATCTTTTTTAAACGTGTTCTAAACCTATTCTTAATAATATACAGGCGTTCCTAAATACTATACTAGAGTTTAGTACAGCAGTACTAGACAACGTATCTAAACTAGATAGTAATATTAGAGATGAATTTAGGTAACTATATAAAGTGCTAGAGGAGGATAGTAGTAGTAGTGTTAAGGAAGTAAGTAAAAGTAAATAGAACAAGTTTAGAATAGGTTAGTAACACGTTACAGGGGCATAATATATACCTTACTTGTAGTAATAGTTAAGGACTACTACTTACACTAGCAATTATTAAGTATATAGCTATTCTCCTAGCATACCCTTAATTATATAGCTAAGGGTATAGGTATATAATACTAGTTTAGCAACATAAAGATAGCTCTTACCTAATAAGAGAAGAGGTGCTTGTGCAGGCTACACAGGTAACACGTTAAGAACACGTTCTTAAATTGTTCTAATTCTAGCAGGTATAATACTCCTGCTAGTCTATCTATCTTAATAGGCCTACAACTTCACTATTCTTTAATAGCTAGCTAGCAAGCTAGTATAAATACTAATACTCTAGGGTAAAAGCGTGTAAGTATCTTAAGAACACGTTATAAATGTGTTCTTATTACGTTATTAATAACGTATTATATAATTAGATCTAAACCTTAAAAAGTATAGTACCTAAGAAAATTCTATAAAGAGAACTATAAATAAGAAGCTATTATTATAGCCTTATTAAGCACTTCTCTTTAAGGATTTATAAGGACTACTAGGTGTCTTATTATCCTGTAATAAGGACTATAGTAAATTAGGTAGGGAGCAAAACTTAAACATGTTTAAAACGTGTTAATAATAAGTTAGCAAATTGTAGAACAGGCTTAACTATACATTAGCTGTTAGAACTATAGCCTAATATCTGCTACTAGGAAAAAACATTATTTTAGTTAGGTACTACTAGAGGTAGACTCTATATATCTACAAGGTCTTCTAACTAGGGAGATATTAAATCTTTCTAGTAGTCCTGCTTTATGTTCTGTAGTTAAGCTATAGTTAAGCTAGATAAAGAAGTATGGTAGGCATATTATAACCTATTCCTAACATGTTCCTAATATATTCTAGGCGTTAATTATCCACAAGGGCAAGGATCTCTGTTTAAAATCCTGTGTAAAGTTACCTTCTAAGTAATTATACTAATAGATATAGTAGCAATACCTTTTTTTGCTATTATTTCTTTTAGTATATATATACATATACCTCCTCCTCCCTTAACACTATCTAATAGTAATATTAAGGAAGTAGTAAAGGTATTACAGCCTATACTTACTCTGTAGCTTACGCAATATAAGTTGTTTGTAACCTATTATAAACGTGTTCCTAACTTGTTATAGCCTAGTTCCTAAACTTAACCTAGCTTTAAACCTATCTCTAACTTAAAGGTTTCTATTCTATTAAAGAAATGCATATTAGCTTTGCAAATAAAGATAAAATCTCGCGTATTATAAAGCGTGAAAAGCTTCTATAGTTCCTATTTAAGAGTAGCCTTAGAGGAGTACACTATAAGTAGAGGATAAAGCATTAGGATCCTAAAACTATATATAGTGTAAGAGAACAGGTTTAGAACACGTTGTTAACACGTTACTACAGGCGTACATACAGCAAATCTTTATATTAAGCTTAGGTAACTTAATTATTTGCCTTTTTAAAGAGCAGGCATTAATTCTATTAGATTAAGATATATTCTAGATAGATATGTTATATAAGAGGTTGTATAGGGCATAGGCAGAGATTCTAATAGTAATCTTCTACCTGCAGGAAAAGAAGCGTACGCATTAAGAACAGGTTTATAACATATTTCTAATATATTATAGTTATTATACTTAGCTAAATTATTATAGATAAGGATATAACTAAGATATATTAAGTTACTATTACTAACTTCTTTTAGAAGTGTAAAGCACTTATAAAAAGATAAGTGTTATAGAGGTATATTTACTTATAGGGATTCTATAGGACTACTATTAATATATGTAACAAGTAGATAATAGGCAAGTTTTACAGCGCACTATAATATATTCATAACGTGTTTCTAACTTGTTTCTAGGACTTAGGCGCTATCTCTAGTTAATTAATCCCTATAAGCGTAACTAGCGCTAGCAACTTTAATCTTGTATAAGATTTTATTAAGTATATCTACAAAGAAGTATTTATAAAGTATGTAAAAGAGAGCTAGATAATACTACCTCTTTATATCTAAGTGAATTACTACAGGTATTAATAGCAGAGGAATACTTTTAGCTTGCTAACCTCCTCTTACGTAAGTAAACATATTCTAAACCTATTCTAAACGTGTTCCTAACTTGTTCTTATATAATTAGAACACAAACCCTCTAAAGATGCCTAAAACTAGGCAATCTATAAGAAAAACCTAGTAATTACTGCTAGGATTATATAATGCTGTAGTAAAATATTAAAAGAGGTATAGGAAAAACTAGAATCTTATTTAAATATAGCTAAGCAAGCAGGCTAGAAAGGATATAAAACTAGTAAGCATGTAAGTATTCTTAAGGCCACTTAGAAGTAAGTTTACAACCTGTTCTTAACCTGTTAGAATTGTATAAGTAACATCGTGTAGTGCACACTAGATAGATCTATAGGATATAAAAGAGTTTAAAGCCTAGAGCAAGTTTAGAATACGCTATAACTATAGAACTCCTAATAGGCTTAAGCAAAGGTACCTTAAAAAGCTTTAGAGGGGAGAAAGTAAGTCTTACGCTAGCGTTATGCACATTTGCTAATTAAAACGTGTTTAGAACGTGTTTAGAACGCGTCCTGCAATAATAACAACACTCTAGATAATAATAAAGCAAGTCTTGCTATATCTAACTTAACTAGATATGTCTTAGTCCTAATAAGAAATAAAAGAGCACGCTTAAAAGCCTAAAGCTAGAGGGCAAGTAGTAGAGCGGTATTAGAAAGAAGTTCACTAGCCCCTTTTCTATCTTCTCTACTACTAGGCTCTTCTCCTCTGCTAACAGCAACCTAAAGGTATGCTTTGCAAAACATGTTTATAATATATTCCTAACTTGTTATTAGTCTACAACTATAAACTTTGCAATAAAAGGCTCTTCTTAGTAATTAGGCTCTAAAGGAGAGAAAAGAAAAGCTAGAGGTAGATAAGGAAGAACTTGCATAGAAAAAGGCACTGTTTAAATTGCAAAAGGCACAGTTTAAACTTAAGAAAGAGATAGCTACTTTTTATACAAGGTAGGGTTAGTCTATAAATATAGTAACTAGTTCCTAACTAGTTCTTAATATGTTCTAGTCTATCACGTAAGCATATATAAGTAGATAAATATATATTCTTTCTTCTTCTCTTTCTTCTTCTTTCTTCTTACACTTTATAAGAACTTTTTATATTTAAGAGTTTAATACTATTTTACTATCTATCTTTCCTAATATTATTAGATATAACTAGTTAATATAGTCCACAAAGATCTTTTAAAGTTAGTATATAATAGAACGCGTTAGGAATACGTTGTGAACTTGTTCTAATACTAAGTAGGATTTATACTAGCGATATATTAAGCTTAAGTTACTTCTATCTAATACTAGGGTATTCTCTCCTATAATATCCTACCTAAATAATAGGTGTATAGTATTTCCTAGCAAGCTTTTCTACTAGGCTATTTAGGCTAGATTAGGGGTACAGGAACTTTGTAGAGTATATATATATGCGAGTTAGAACACGTTTATAATATATTAATAACTATTTTAGTGTTGCTTCTCTAATAGAGGCAATCTTATCTACTACCTTAAGAGGTATTATCCTAAGGTTTAAATAGCCCTAGTAAACTGTAGTAGAACTATAATACAAGGCACTACAGAAGCAAGGATCTTCTATAGGAGCTTAATAGTAAATGCTTAAGAACGTGTTCTAAATATATTAATAATACGTTCTCTGCTAGTAGAGTAGACTGCACTAAGTGCCTTCTCTAAGGTTTAAGAACCCTCTAAGATAGCTAGTCTACAACAAGAAGTAGTAGCTGGAGTAGAGGCTAAAGAGGAAGTAGAGAGTAAAGAAGAGGAGCAAATAGTTGCTCCCCTTTACACTGTGAATAATATTTAGCGAAAGTAGCAAAAAGGAGATATAAGTCTAGTCTCTTAAAACATGTTTAGAACATATTAATAATATATTATAGCTAGACACCTATAAATACTAGATTCTTCTTTAATCTAAGGGACTACTAGAGCTTTATAATACCTATAAAAGTTAAAAGAAAAAGTTATATACTATTAAAGGACCCTATAAAAGTAAATAGTACTTTACTTTTAGTAGATAGAAAAAAAAAGAGAAGAGTAAAGAGTTTATTTTAGTAATTACTACTACCCCTTTAGGTTATATGCTATTATATATTGTTTATTAGAACCTATTCTTAACACATTCTTAACGTGTTCCTACTTGTTGCTATTATTATCTCCCTCCCCCTCTCTAGTATCTTCTCTATCCTCCCTAGGCTCTATAAAAGTATACTACAAAGTAGTCGTGCCTCTGCACAGACCGATTGGTTT